ACTCTGAACGTGCAAGAGTCATTACTTGTAGCAATCTCTACGACACCCGTGGGGTGAATTTCAACCACACGAAAAGGCCCTGACCATCGTGATTTCAATTTGCCTGGAAATAACCACAGTCTTGAGTTGTATAGCAATACCGTATCTCCGGGTTTAAAATTCCACTCAATAATATTTCTATCATGTATCATCTTCATTCTCTCCTTGTATAATCTTGTGCTCTCAAAAGCGTGATATCTAAACTAATCGAGCTCGTGCAGCTCCGTTACTCTACTTGTTCCCGCAGCTTCAATATCAAGATTCAACTGTCTCAATGCCCACCAGGCTCTATGCTCCAACTCTACTGGTAAATGACATGCCTTCCCAAAAACCAACTTGTATGGCGACATGTCGATTGGAGTTTTGAAAGCGGTTCGATAAGCCCAAAGTGCATCATCTAACTTCCCCGCCCAATCTGTTCTAGTAGCATTCACAGTCTTAGTCAACACATTCTTTATTTCTCTGTTTGAGACTTCCACTTGCTCGCTCGTTTGTGGATGAAGGGGTGGCCACCTTGTGGCATACATCATACTTCTCTAACAACTTCGCGAAGGCTCGATTACAAAAGTGAGTGCCTCCAACACTGATTATTGCCCTTGGAGTGCCAAATCGGGTGAATATGTTCTTTCTCAAAAAACCAATTACCCCCTTTGCATCATTTGTAGGAAGTGCTTCAGCTTCCACCCATTTGGACACGTAGTCCACAGACGAGTATGTACTTGTTGCCATATGAGCTAACGAAAGGCCCCATGAAATCGATCCCCCATACATCAAACACGTCTACCTCCTGAATTGGGTTCGTAGGCATCTCATGTCGTCGGGAAATATTCCCAGTTCGTTGACATTCATCACACCCCTTTTATCCATAAATGTGCATCTTTGAACAGTGTTGGCCAGTAGAAGCCCGACTCCAAGACTTTCGCAGCTGTCCCTACTCTCTCGAAGTGCCCACCATATGGTGATGCGTGACATGCCTGCAAAATAGAAGACTGGTCTATCTCGAGGATACATCTCCGAATTATGTTATCAACACAAATCCTGAAAAGATAAGGCTCATCCCAATAATACATGCGACAATAATGAAAAAACTTTTTCTTTTGAACAGAGGAAAGGTCATAAGGAACAATACCGCTCGCCGGGTAGTTTGCAATGTCTTCATACCATGGCGCTTCCTCAAGACTCGTGGCTAGTAGTTGTTCATCTGGGAAAGTTTCCAGAATCTCTTCTACCTCAACCTTTTTCTCAGCTCCTTCTAGCCTAGACAAATGATCAGCTACTTGGTTCTCCGTTCCCTTTCGGTCACGAATTTCCAAATCAAATTCTTGCAGCAGTAGCACCCATCGAATCAGGTGCAGTTTTGACTCCTTCTTCTCGATTAAGTACCTGAGAGCAGCATGGTCAGTATAAACTATTACCTTTGAGCCTATCAGGCATGACCCGAACTTGTCAAATGCGAACACCGCTACTAGCATCTCCTTCTAGGTCATAGTGTAATTTAGCTGGGCTCCACTCAGCATTCTACTTGCGTAGTATATTGGGTGCATGATTTATCTTTTTGCTGCCCAAGAACTGCTCCCACAACATAGTCACTCGCATCACACATCAGCTCAAATGGTTGCTCCCAGCCGGGGGAAACTATGATAGGTGTTGTTACCAGTCTCTTCTTTAATTCCTCAAAAGCTACCCTACAGTCATCAGAAAACACAAAAGGGTGATCTTTTTCAAGCAATTTACACAAGGGGTTAGCAATTTTGAAAAAATCTTTTATAAATCTCCTATAGAAACCGGCGTGCCCAAGAAAACTTCTGATTGCTTTGACGGAAGTGGGTGGTGGAAGCTTTTCTATCACATCAACCTTTGCACGATCCACCTCAATACCTTTACTTGACGCTAGGTGCCCCAAGACTATACCTTCATGTACCATGAAATGACACTTTTCCCAGTTGAGTACCAGATTAGTCTCGATACACCTTTTCAAAACTCTTCTCAAGTGCACAAGGCAATCATCGAATGAATTCCCCACCACTGAGAAGTCATCCATGAAAACCTCCATTATCTCTTCTACCATATCTGTAAAGATGGCCATCATGCACCTTTGGAATGTGGCGGGTGCATTGCATAGGCCAAACGACATTCTCCGAAAGGCATAGATACCATAAGGGCAGGTGAACGACGTTTTCTCTCTATCCTTTGGGGCAATAGAAATCTGATTATACCCCGAGTACCCATCCAGAAAGCAAAAGTGAGACCTCCCTACCAATATATCTAGCATCTGACCAATGAATGGCAGTGGAAAATGGTCTTCCATATAGCCAAGTTCAACTTCCTGTAATCCATACAGATTCGCCAACCTGTGACTGTTCGTGTAGAGATCAATTCGTTCTTCTCATATTTCACTACCATCTGTCACACCTCCTTTTTACCCCGAGGAGATAGGAAAGAAAGGTGTTTTTCCAATTTAAGTGACATTATTTGAAAGGGGATTAATTCATTTGTATTTAAGAGTCGCCACTTGGAATAAATATTTACGGTGTCCCAAGTCACCATTTTAAATCCCAATTCAAGGAAATTGACTCTGATTAAGTCTGCGAAACACAGAAGACCAGGTAAGGAATTATGTTAACCCAGGAGAAGGTGTGAGGAACTCCCGAGTTCCGTGGTTCTAGCATGGTCGCTTTAAATAATTATACTTGGCTTAACTAATTCGAGATGTTTTATGTTCTAGAGAAATTTATGCACTTTTGCCTTAAGGCCGCTTTTGATTTCTTGATTATTTGTAGCTAATGGAATTATCTTAAAACGAATCACGCGTACGTGTATTCGATTTGCTTGGTGTGTCAGGAATCATGTCACGCGTACGTGTACACAATTAATAACACTTATATTATTAAGATGGTTTGATCAAGGTCGCACGAACGTGTACCTTGATTTATTTTTGGAATCATAATTATGTCACGCGAACGTGTACATAATTACGATAACAAATTTAAAACACGCCTAAAGCACTCTAACGGTGTTCATTATTCTTCCCAAATTTTGAGATTATTGTGAGGCCAAGAGCTTAGGGAAATATTTGCGGAAGAAGTGTATGATGCATTTATTTGAAATCATAAAACAACCATTTATATAATGTGATTGCCGTTTGCACATTAAAACTAAAGTTTCACTTCTTATCTAACAAGTAAATGAACCAATTTCGATAACTATGCTAGACTTGTGATTAAATCACGTCAAGTAACTAACAGGGATATGTTTAAACATTTAACAAACTTTTCTAACTTTATCTAGCCATCCACATAATTTTATAACTATGAGTTTTTGATTACAAAAGAAAAACATATACGAAATCTCCATAATTTCAACAACAGTGAAACAAAACAAGACAGTTGGGGGAACTAAGCAATGGAATGATATCACAGTCATAAAATATTCAACTAGACGAGAATAGAGCATGAAATTAACTAATATAACAACAATAAAAATAAATTGACCTTTTGATAAAAAATTATCTCCAAGAAAACGGTACAGCAACAGAGAAAAGCACCGACGTAGAGCCGATGACCAATGAATCGAACACCGAACCACGACCGAGACTCCAACGAAGGCGACAAAACTCGACGAACAGAGCTCTCCTCTCTTCTCTTTGTTCCCATCACTCTCTATGTTCTATTCTGCTTTTTCCATGAATAATGGGTGTATTTAAGATTAAGTTAGAGCCAAAGATAAAGATGGAGATTTTGCTTCTCAAAAATGGTCCCTCCTTTTTGTGAAGTGTGGATATTAGATATATAAATAGGTGTGTGCAGATGAGTGTGTGTGAGATCATGTGATTGAGGGGATGTGTGTGCAACGTGAGGAGTGGGATGTGTGTGCAACGTGTGTGAGTGGCATGAAGAATAGTGTGTGCAAGTGTGTAGTGCAGTGTAAAATTGGAGACACTGGGGTTGGGATTTATGTGAGGCTACGTGAGGTAATAGGTAGGTGATTTTGTTTTAATTGTAAAGTTTATTACTAAAATGTTTGAAAGTTATGGGAATTTAACTATATACATATATTTTTGTAAGTTTTCTTTTAGAAGTAAAATTTAATTAAAATATTGACACAAAAATATTAACCAACTAACTTTAGACTAAAAAAAAAACATAAGAAATCTAACTAATTATATATAATTTATATAATACTAAGAAAAATACATAGCTTACTCATTAAAATTCCAATTAAAAGAAACCATATATATATATAGAAATAAAATTTACACTCTAAGAATGTGAGTATTTTATATATATTCAAATAAAACCTATTAAGAGTGATAAAAGTTTAAACATTAAGATTAAATCTAAAAGAAATATTTACACTAAAATAGTATGAAATTCGGTGTGGTCAAAAATTAGTTGTTCACAGCATGCCCCTCTTTGCTTGGAAACAAGGAGAGTTTTCAGGCAAAGAAAATGAACAAGGTGACTGATTTTTGACCTCACTATTATTTGAAAAGAAAAAGAAGATAAAAGAAAAATATGTGACCGAGCCTTGATTTTAGGCAGCCTACATATCCCGGGTTGTAAGGGAATCAGGTCACGTGTAGTTCAAGTGAAAGAAGAGTGATGGAGTATTCTTAGAGGGAGAGTCGAGTGAAGTTCCGTCGAGGTTTCGGTCCGCGGTTCCTACTATTACATCAAAATGAAAAGAAAATTACATACTCTTGAAATCTAAGAGTTACAAAATTCCTATCAAATGCCATCTGGAGTCTTGTCTTGATTCTTGACTTACTTCTCCCAGTGACTTTGGATTGAAACTTGATGCTCTCGATTCAACAGACTATGAAATATTCTCCCAGGCTTGATTCTTGATCCGATGATGGGAAGAAAGATCTTGACCATATGTCTCTGCATGCATTACGCCAAAGCTAGTTGCGCCTGGTATTGAGATCAAACGTTCCACTTTCTCTGGAAAGAACTGAAATCTTATTTTTGCACATCAAATCCGTGCTTTGCAGAAAAACCTACAAGCCAACACAAACAAACAAAACGAACAAAAATTTTCTGCCCTAGTTTGCACTAGGAAATTTTTGTGAGTTATTGAAAACACATGAAACTATCTTTGCTATTGCAGAATAAAGAATTAAAAAAACATGCGTTTTTTTAAATAATAGGGGATGGCGTACCCTGTGTTAACAAGAAGGAAGGCAACCAGGGGATGTAGTACCCTGTGTTGATGATATGATAAGGCTCGTGGCACTCTGAGATTCTACTAGGGGATGTCGTACCCTATGTAGGTAGAAAGTAATGCGACCAAGGGATGTAGTACCATGTGTCGGCAATAAGATGAGGCTTGTGGCACTCTGAGATGCTACTAGGGAATGTTGTACCCTATGTTTGCAATAAGAAGTGCAACCAGGGGATGTAGTACCCTGTGTTGGCAATAAGATGAGGCTCGTGGCACTCTGAAATGCAACTAGGGGATGTCGTACCCTATGTTGGCAAAAAGTGATGCAGCCAGGGGATGTAGTACCCTGTGTTGGCAATAAGACGAGGCTCGTGGCACTCTGAAATGCTACTAGCGGATGTCGTACCCTATGTAGAAAATAAGTGCAACCAGGGGATGTAGTACCCTGTGTTGGCAATAAGGTGAAGTTGTTGGCTCTCTAAGATTCTATTAGGGAATGTCGTACCCTGTGTAGTCAGAAAATGATGCTACTAGGGAATGCCGTACCCTATGTTAGCAATAAATTAGGCTCTTGTCTCTCTAAGATTCTACTAGAGAATGTCGTACCCTATGTAGGTAGAAAGTAATGCAGACAGGGGATGTAGTACCCTGTGTTGAAGATAAGGTATTAGTTCCCTATAATGAAACTAAAAATAAAATAATTACATGTATATTGAAAAAAAATCAAGGATTTGAGAACTTCACTGGGTGGTGTTCGTCTTTTTACGAGCTGTTTCCTAAAATTGTTCTGTTCCTGTTCTGAACAAAGAAAGATTCGTTTGTTTTAAAATGGTGGTCGGTTTGTGGCCTTGATTATTTTAGTCTCTTGATCTCGGCTCATCTTTTTTAATGATTTCAACTGCAATTGGTTATTTTTTGAATACCAATTTCATTTCTGACCCCAGAGAACCTTTGGCTTTCCCAAACTTTACCATGGAGGTACTTAACCTTTTTCAACTTTATTTTGCCTTTGTGGGCATTTCACTTTTGACTTCTTTCAAAGTTTTTCATTTCAAAGCATCGGCCAATCATGGACAGTCGGGGTCGACTTGATGCCTTTGTCGAGGCTGGGCGCCTTTTGAATATATCAGCTCGCTTCAAACGAGAACCCTATAAATCGGTCTTGCCATCTTTTCTTTGCTTTATTTTTGGAACAAAGTTAGACCGAATGGGATTGAAAGAAAAAAAACAAACAATGGAATAGAGAATGAGTTTAAAACAAGAGGTTTCCCTTTCGGGGAAAAGAAATACGGACCTATCTGGGAGTACATGCAGACTTCAATGAACATGACATGCCTTTTGGACTGGATGCCTGATCTGTATAAACCGTCCGATTCTCAGAAACTCATCACAATTTTTGACTTGAAAGCGGGAAACCTTGATCATGATTGTGCTGATGGTATGACTGCGTGGATCCTCTTTTCGATCAACAGTGCCCTTTGCGGGTTTTCACTAGCTGATCTCTCTCATTTCTCTTCTCGCCATCATCTCATAGTGCCCTTTGCGGGTTTTCGCTAATAAGACTCTCTCATTATTATTTTCTCTACTCACCATCGCCCTACAGTGCCCATGAGGGTTTTCACCAATAGGACTCTCTTATTTTATTTCTCTCATTTGGTTGCATCTGATCCAAGTAACATATCCACCAACTCTTGAACATTCTCGCTGATTGATCGGAAGGACTTGAAATGATTTGGGTAAAAAGAATTTGGACTGAATTACAACTTTGGAACCTTTCGAGCAAAACAATTGCCGAAATATTATAATATCTACCCCAGTTTCACATTTTGGGAAATTTGGATTTTTATTTTGGTGTGACTGAACCTCAGAGAGAGGATGCCTACCTATCCTTTCGGAATCAAGTCGAACGTAGTTCAGGGAACTTTAGTTTTTGATTTTCTTTTGTTTTTTTGTTTTCATTTTTTTTGTTTTTTTTCTCTTTCTTTTCTTTGTTATTTTTTAATAATAACTTCCAGATTCCAAAGAGGGTAATCAAAGAGAGGGAACCGGCTCAAAGGGTTTGCAAAAGGATTAATAGTGTTTGGGTAGTGAGAAAGAAAGCCTCCGTCATGTCAATCAGAGAATGTTAAACCAAGTCATGAGACATAGTAACTTTTTACTGCGTCTGTATTGACTATTGTCTCGAGGACATTTCCTTTGGTGTCTCCCAAATACAACGTACCTATGCAATACTCTTGTTACAATGTATGGACCTTTGTAATTTGGAGCAAATGTTTCCTTAGCTTCTTCATGGTGCGGGAGAATATGTCTCAGGACGAGTTGTCCCACTTCAAATTTCTTGGGACGTACTTTTTATTGTAAGCATGGGCCATTCTTTGTTGTACAACTGCCCATGGTAGCCTCCGGCCAATCACTTTCCAACAATCAAAGATAATGTTTCAATCGGGTCTTGACTCAATCTTCATCAGCGATCGCGGCTTCAACAATGATCCGAAGAGAAGGAATCTCATTTTCGTTTCAATTCTTTGTTTATTTTCTTACAAGCCTTATCTTCAACACATTATTCTTCTTGGTTCATTATTTCGAAATCTGACAGCGTTTTAGGATCTGGGCATGAAGTCCGCAAGCATGTCATGTTATTAAAATCTGCATTTACAGAACTTGAAAAGAGAATAATAAAGGTGACAAGATTAAGAAAAGAGACATTCATGGATGATGAAATATTGATTTCATTTATTTGAATATATTAAAAAAAGATAGAAGGGTTTAAATCAAAATGTAAGACAGTAAAGTAAAAATATTTGGATGACACACTGAAATAACTCGAAAGGCAGAAAAGATAGCAAGACCAGCTACCGAGACTCCCGTCTGATAGGAAAAGTTTCTGGGTTGGCGCCCGTTTTTTGTTTCTCTTCTGCCGCGGCAATGACTACTATGGCTTTCAATGCTGGATCAAATTCCCCATCATCAAATCATCCCGAGCATGCAGTGTCCTATTGCTCAAATCTGGTAAAGTCAACCCCACATTTGCCTTCATTTTTTATTTTTCACTGTCAACTTGCCTACTTGCCTTTTCGTGACCTTGGATAAACAACAATGGTGCTTTTTCCATTTGTTGAGAAGATGCTTTTACTTCCAAGGGATCTTGGATTGTTTGCGTGACTCGCCATTGCAAACCAACAAACCGACCACTTTTAACTAGCTTTTATTTCAAAACAACAAGCATGCTAGAATAAACACTCTCTCTTCTTCTTCTTTTTTTTCTTTTTTTTTTCTTTTTTTTACCACTTTATTCTCTCTCTCTTTTTTTTTCTTTTTTTTTCAAAATGATTCGATCGAACCTAATGTAGGTTGTCTACGTATCATGCGGAGACATGAATCAGATCTTGCGTAGTTCAGGAAGATCAAGAATAAAATGAATAAACTAACTCTTTTTTTTTACTTTTTTAAAAAAAAAATTCTAATCGTAAAAGCTCCTAACAAGAAAAATATTTTTGTACTTTTAATTCTCTATCCCTTTATTTTTTATTCAAAATTTTTGAAAAAAAGACTTTCAAACAAGAAAGAAAATACTTTTGGATTTCCATTTTTAGTAATTTTCGAAATAAAGAAATATTTTTTTGGATTTTGATTTTTTTTTTGAATTTTTGGAAGAAATACTTCTAAAAAAGGTGGAATTATTTTTGGATTTTTTAATTTGATGTCTTAAAGAAAGAATTCTAAAGAAGGAATTAAAGGAGAATATTTTTTTTTGGATTTTTAAAAATTGGGGGCCGGATCCGATGAAGGTTGCCTACGTATCTCACATCCGGTGAGAATCAGACCCGCGTAGTTCAGTTAAAATAACTAAAGAAAACTATTTTGAAAATTGTAATTTTACATACCAGAACCCTTCAAAATTTTATATAAGAAAACATATATTTTATGAAAACTTGGAGGAAATTTTCTCTTTCTCTCTCCTCTGTTCAATCAATCTATCTTAAAGCTGGTCAACATTTGAGTAAAGCCTACCATATAGCGCAGAAAATTGAACATGAAAATTGGTTCCTGTCCGAGACGGGCCCGGCTCCTGTGCCGAGTCCCGCTAAGTCCAATGCACATGATGCAAATAAAGCGTAGCTTACTAGGGATATTCATTGCTTGTGGCTTGTACTCTAAGTTTTCAAATCCTAAAGGAGATGGTATCTAGACCTGGCTTACCCGGGTGGACAACCCGAGCCGAGGAGCGTCAAGCGACACCAGTAGTAGAACAACACTGGCTAGCTAACGGCTCTCCCGCCTAATCATGTGTAACTAAATCCTTCACCAGAAGCTGGTAGGCTAACTGGCTTTATCTCAAGACAGAAATTTTGTGATGCCGGTAGGCAAACACAACATAACTACCTATCAGAAGACTCAGAGGGGTGCGAGAGAGGATACAATTTATATCACAGTTCAAATAAATATTGAAGCGGTAAATAAGCGACAAATAGTACATTAGGCTCCCAAACACAATAATGTCCAAAACATGATAAAAGCCAAACAAGAATCAATATACAAAGCTCGAATTCTTATTAGTTAATCCCCAGTGGAGTCACCATAGCTGTCACACCTCTTTTTTCTCCCACAACCCTATTACGAGGTTGAGTTAGAAGAGTTTTTCCAATTAAAGTGACGTTTTAAAAAGGGGTTATTTATTATTTGGAGTCGCGCACTTGGAAATGAGTTTTGGTGTTCCAAGTCACATTTAATTTGAATCCCCTTTCAAAAGGAAGGTTTGACTCTTATTTCATGGTCTATGAAAACAGAAGACTGAGTAAGGAATTCTGTTGACCGAGGGGAAGGTGTAAGGCACCCCTCGAGTCCCGTGGTTCTAGCACGGTCGCTTTATTGACTAATGTAAGGCTTAAATTAATTTTTAGCTATTCTTATATTTTATTGATTACCGCTTAATTAGTTATTATATTTTTATTAATTGTGTTCACCCAGATGCGGTACACATACAAGGTACTTCTTTGATATTAAATATTAAACCAAGGTACGAAATGTACACATAGTTATATCATAATTATTTTAAATTTAAAGCCATCGAGACGCGGAATGCGTACATGATCCTTTTATTAATTAAGCATATTAATCCAAGGTTCGGGTATGAACACGTAAGCTAATATTTAAAATGTGTCTAAAATGTCGATATTTGTTTCCACAATGACATAGAAACAAAGAGACTACGCCCTGGTTTTCGTTCATAAAATTTTGTCGCAGCTTGCGAATTGTTTTTATTTTTATTTTATTTTTTAAAATTGGAGTTTTCATATTCTTTAGAAAAGCTTTTAATTTCAATTCTATTTGTTGCAGAAACTGTTTGCAGAAGTTGTATGTTACAGTATTATTTAAAAAAAAAATCTTCTACCCATAAACATACACAAATCTTTGGAAAAAGAACTTCAACAACAAAAATAAATTTCTAAAAAAAAAGATTAAATCCTAAATTCCAATATTTTTAAAGAAGAAACCAGACAACTTTGTCACCAGAAGATAATTCTTTAAAATGATGATCAGAAGTAGATACGTAAAATTGAAGCAAAGAATGTATCTTTTCTCTTTCGTTTCTTTTCCTTTCGTTGATTATTTTCATTAATGAAATTAATTAAACAATGAATTTAACTACAATAATTTCCAAATAGAAATTAATTCCATATAAGTTTTGGCTTAGATTAGATGATCACATGCTTCATATCAACAATGAATCAAACTACAAATATAACTTAAATATGAAATTGAATAGAAAAAGTAATGAAGCATTCAGTTGCTAAACTTTTCAAGTTACATTAAGAAAACATGGATCTCATGCTATTATATGGATTTACTAAGAAGATTCGAGTGTTACCTTTTTGCGAAAATTTCACTCAGTAATCGACTTAATCTACTAATTATCAAACTTCTAGAACCCGCAAACTCGAAAATACGAACGAAATTCCGAACTCCGCCTTCAGATTCAATAACTTAGCCAAACATTTTTTTTCTTTTTTCGTTCTCTGCCCTTTCCTTCTCCTATCTCCTCCCTTTTGTGAAGTGTGGATATTAGATATATAAATAGGTGTGTGCAGATGAGTGTGTGTGAGATCATGTGATTGAGGGGATGTGTGTGCAACGTGAGGAGTGGAAATGAAGTCTTTAATGTTAGTAGTATAACATCCCGTACTTTAGTACTAGGATGAGTCATAGTATCCATATGAGATTAAAAGGGATTAAAGTCATTCATGAGGTTATAGAGGATTTGTGCGATGTTATTGAAAGACCCCGTAAGTTTAACAACCTTGATACCGTTAGATACATTTTGATATGGTACCATAATTTTTCCTAAAAATATTTTTATAGTATTACTTTAGGATGAGGATTTGTGGAGAATTACAAGGTGGCTAGGATGTCACCACGTGGCGACATAGTAAGGAGCAACAAGTGACTAATACAAGTTATCATGGAGGTGGCATCTTTATAGCTAATTAGGAAATTGTGGATAAGTATTGCTAGTAGTAGAACTAGATAAATATTAGGTAGAATAAAGGGGTGGATACGTGTACAAATTAGGTGAGGTTATGGAATGGGTGTCTAATTTTATTAGATGACCATGTGTCATAAATTAGGAAAGAGTGGAGGGGGGGAGGATCCCATGTGTAGTTGTGGGAGACAATATTCAGTGACTAAGCACTACTAGAGGTAAAGGTGGCATTCCTATAAATGGTGACTCTTGGTTTATGTGGCTAGGTGGCATCTTTAGGGGATTTTTGGACATAACCAATCCACAAAAGTGGGGCCCACAACCCACAATTACAAGAGATCTTCCAACATTATTAAGTGAGATGTATTTACATNAGTTTAAACATTAAGATTAAATCTAAAAGAAATATTTACACTAAAATAGTATGAAATTCGGTGTGGTCAAAAATTAGTTGTTCACACCATCATACCTCCCTTTTTTGGTACACAGTGAACTGGGCTAACCCAATTGCTATCAGAGATGGGGAATATGATTCCCGCATCTAACCACTTGATCACTTCTTTCTTCACTACTTCCTTCATGTTGGGGTTCAGCCTTCTTTGATGTTCTCTGGAAGGTTTGTGCCCATCTTCCAATAAAATCTTATGCATACAGAAGGCCGGGTTGATCCCCTTTATGTCTGCAATGGTCCACCCAATTGCAGTCTTGCACTCAGTCAGTACCTGCAAAAGTTGTTCTGCCTGCACATCTAATAAACTAGATGAGATAATAACGGGTAGAGTTGAGTAAGGTCCTAAGAATGCATACCTGAGATGAGATGGAAGTGGTTTTAGTTCCAACTTTGGTGGTTCTTCTATTGATGGCTTAGCTGGAGGAGTTTTTCTTTCCTCTAAGTGCAAAGGCTCAAATTCGAGCTCCCTTCTCCAAAAACCTTGTCCTTCAAGAGCAATTACCCCATCTGCTAAGTCTTCACCATTAGTTTCATCTAGGTTCATGAGACAGGCTTCTAGAAGATCTTTAATGTTCAATGCCTCATCATCCTTCTCCAAAACTACATCCACCGCATCTATTAGAGAGCAATTAGCAAATTCACTTGGTCTCCGCATAGATTTCTGCACATTGAATGTTATCTCTTCATCGTTTAATCTCATCTTGAGCTTTCCAGTTTTACAATCAATTAAAGCTCTCCCAATGGCCAAGGATGCTCTTCCCAAAATTATGGGAATTTCCTCGTCAACCCAACAGTCAAGGATGACAAAATCTGTTGGGAACACAAACCTCCCAACATGTACCAATACATCATCTAGAATCCCAGAGGGCCTCTTCATTGTTCGGTCAGCCAGCTGTAGTGACATAGATGTGGGTCTAGCTCTTCCAATGCCTAGCCTTTTGTAGATAGCCAAGGGCATAAGGTTTATGCTTGCTCCCAGATCACACAGTGCCTTAGCAAATGCAAAGTTGCCTATTGTGCAAGGGATTGTGAAACTTCCTGGGTCAGACAGCTTCTCAGCTATGGGTCTCGTCACAACAACACTGCACGTCTGAGTCAGTGTAACTGTGGCCAAGTCTTGAAAGTCGAACTTGCGGGACATAAAGTCCTTCATCATCTTCGCATAACCAGGCATCTCCTTTAAAGCATCAATCAATGGAATGTTTACCTGAATTTGCTTCAACATGTCCAAGAATTTCTTGTACCGCTCATCTTTCTGATATTTGGCCAATCTATGTGGGAATGGTGCTGGAGGTCGCTTCTTCCCTGTGATTAGATTTTTCTCTTGTTCAGGCACTGCTTCTATTGTCGGTTCCGGTGCAACCTCGGTATCTTTCACAACCTCTTCTTCTTTGTTGGTGTTCTCTTGTGCATGTTGTACCGTCACCTCAATTAACCCTGATGAATCATCTACCTCAATGGGTACTGGCACTATCATAGTCGGTCTACTTTTGCGAGCAATTTCTTGCTCCAGATCTAAGTCTCTACCACTTCGGAGACTCACTGCCATCAGTTGCTTCGGGCCCTGCTCTTTTGGGTTGATTTGGGTGTCTGCAGGTAACATCCCATGGGGACGATTATTTAGGGCCATAGAAATCTGTCCTAATTGGATCTCAATATTCTTTATCGCTGATTCATGTGAGTCTACTCTGCCAGTTAGCTTTCCATTGGACCCAATCAGTTGTTGCATCATTCCCTCAAGTTTAGCAAACCCATCTTCGTGTCTCATCGTCTGTTGTTGTTGAGGTTGTTGATAAGTCTATTGCTGATTATGCTAGTTATAACCCTGTTGCCTTTGGTAAGGCACCACTTGAACCTGTGGTCGCATAGCCCTAAGATTATTGTTGTTGTTGTACTGCTGCTGAGCTGGTCTATATTGTTGATTCTACTGACCCCAATTCCGACCACCTTGCCTCTGACCTCCATAGTTGGCCACATAATTCATGTTCTCCTGATATTGTTGGTTATCACCTTCAGCACTCAACGAGCAGGCATATGGTTGATTAATTCATGATGTACATAAACCCCCATTAGTTGCATCAACTATGTGTACCTGCTGCTTTTGGCCGGATTCATCCACCTTTTTAGTGAGGATGCTCATTTGTGTCAGTAGAGTGGCCATATTTTCAGCTATGGAGTTAGTCGGGTCTAAAGCCACTGAGTGAACCACATGAGTGATTGGAGCGTTTCTTGTCGTCCATCCTGAGTTTTGTGCCATCTTGTCAAGTAGGATCTTGCTTTCTCTGAATGTTTTGCTCAAAAATGCTCCACTTGCTGAAGCATCAACATTGGCTTTCAAACTATCTACCAACCCCATGTAAAATCTCTGCCCCAACATCTGCTCCAGAATACCATGATGTGGACACGTAACCAGCAGACCCTTGAATCTATCCCACGTTTCTTGTAACGTCTCTGTTGGTTTCTTTTCAAAGCTCAATATCTCATCAATTTGTTGAGCAGTCTTGTTTGGTGGGTGAAATTTGTTCAAAAATTGCTTGACTAATTCCTCCCAAGTAGTGATAGAGTTTATGGGAAGTGAATTAAGCCAAGTCTGAGCCTCTCCCGTCACTGAGAATGGAAACAACAACAGTCGTATTGCTTCCGGTGTCACATTATGTTGCCTCTGTGTGACACATATTGACATGAAATTTTTCAGATGCTACTGAGGATCTTCAACATATGACCCAGAGAACAGTCCCTTGTTCTGCAACAAATGTAGCATGTTATTTGTGATTTGGAATGAATCTGCTTGTATCTGAGGGACTACAGTGGCAGTTGCTAAGTTGTCAGCGGTGGGTTGCGCCTAGTTATACAGTGTTGCTTCTGGCACAAGAGGTACCACACCCTGATTGTTTGGGTCAATCTCGTTGTTTTTGTTGTTTAGATGATCGTCTTCCATGTCTGGTTCGATTTGCTCTGATGAGTTCTGTTGTGGTTTGCCGTTCTTGTTTGCACGATTTAATGCCTTGAAAACTTTCTTAGGATCCGATAATGCTTCAAACAACTCACCAGTTCTTGAGGAGTTTCTAGGCATGCACCTGTAACACCCAAGACTCACAAACGTTAGAATTCCAATGATCAGTTTAAATTGAAGAAAATTGACTACACTAAGAATTTTTGCACTTCTTTTAACTGCAATCAATAACACCGTTAACTCCCCGGCAATGGCGCCAAAATTTAATCACGCCCAACTATGCCCTATAAAAAGGACAAGCGGTCGCTGCAAATATATTCCGGTCAATAAGTCCGGTGTCGAATCCCACAGGGAATTAACCTATCAATCACAGCTATAGGACTCACAGAAATTCACGTATTCAATCTTCAGAGATATTTAAGTAACATATTGTATGTTTATTAACAAATTATTACGTACTGAAAATGCAGTAATTAAGAACTATATGGTTTGTAAGCAAGAATGGGAATGATCTAAGGTTCTGATTTCCCCTATTGTCGGAATTTTTTCCGCTATGTTTGCTATAAATTTGCCTAAGTCTTCTCTATCGATCATGAGTACTCTGGCTGTCGTAACTCTCTCCCAAGTAATTACAAAAATATACTAGACATATTCTCCCGAATTACGCTAGCTAACTTTAACTACAGCTCACTTAGATCGCACCCAAGGTTTCGTTATCCCTAATCCCACCTTTAAACCCTTCGTATTAATCCCTCATATACGTTAGGAGTGATGATGCTAAACAATTACCTAAATATGCACTCTCTCCCGAGTAATGCACACTAAATAGGAACAACTAATTGAGGGCCCTTCAATTTAACAACAATAAGCATATAGTTGAACAAATAGAGATAATACTATGGCAAATCTATATTAACATAACGAGAAAATCATCCTTCAACAGGTTCCATCAAAACCCTAGATTATAAGTTTAGCTACTCATACTCATAGTACAAATATCCAAAGTAATTTGCATAATTAAATTACAGAGTAAGGAATAAGAGATGTAGAAATCAATGTTTTCAACTCCCAAGTAGTGTTCCACGAGCTATTCTTGCCTCCGGTTGCAAAAGTCCTTCAAAGTGGTATTTTTGGGTCTATTTATATGTTTGGGACAAGGCCTAAATGTGTAGGTCAACTCCTAGTCAAGCCGAGAAATAATTAAAACCTTCAAAACTCGGACGGGGCCTGGCCTTAGGCCTGGCGTTGCTTGGATAACGCTAGCCTCAGCCTGGCTTTAAGTTGGTGTTACCAGGCTAACGCCTGGCTAGGCTTGGCTTTTAGCTGGCGTCGCTAGGCTAACGCCTGGTTGGGCCTGGCTTTAAGCTGGCCTCGCCATGCTAAAGCCTGGTCGAGCTGTCTTTTGCCCGACTTCTCCTTTTCACCGTTCTCGAGCGTACTTTCGACGTTTAAGCATCATTTTATCTCTACTTTCATTTTCGGTGCACCTACATATAAAATAGACTCCATTACGCTCAAACAAAGTGTAATTTAACATTAAAGCATGTAAAACGCATGGCATATAATGTACTAAACCATGAATTCTAGCGACGCATCAATCACATTGAAATTTCAGCCATTTTTAATAAATTACATTCTACAAGTTTGTGGAAATCTATCTATATAGAATAGGAGAAGCAAAAGCACTACATTAAGACAAGTGTCTTAACCACAAAAAGCCAAGTGGCATTGTTAAGACAAAATAAACTACTTTTCTAACTAATTTTTTTTTTGAATTTTAAATTTTGAATTAATTGGTTACACTACTTGAATTAATAAATATAGATATCTTATAATTATCAATAAAAAACAAAAATACAAAAAGATGTTATACTAAATTGGAAATTTATTAATAATTCATACGTCAATTTAACAATATTAAGTAATATATATATATATATATATATATATATATATATATATATATAGTATAAGAATTATAAAAATAAATTAGAATTATTATGAGAAAAGTTGTACATATACACATAACTAAAATCAAAATAAACAAATAGTCATAAATGAAGAATAATAAAAGGAATCAATTGATATCGTAAAAATACATATACTAATTAAATTTCTCGTGTAAGAAAATTTAGTTAATAAATAGAACTCAAAACTACATTAAGACAAGTGTCTTAACCACAAAAAGCCAAGTGGCATTGTTAAGACAAAATAAACTACTTTTCTAACTAATTAATAAAATGTGTTTTATATACTAATGAAATTTCTCATGTTGGAAAATTTATCTATATCTATCTATATAGAATAGGAGAAGTAAAATCATATTATTGTGCCAAGTGTCAAAATAGAAATAAAACATGTGTCCAATTTTAGGACAAACCTCCAACTTATTTGGAGGTTTAAAAATAATTTAAAATAAAAATTTAAATATATGCTAATGCAGTTGAACATCTGATGTAAATATATGTTAATGCAGTTTTTTAAATTTTTTAAAAGAAGTTCACAAGGTTTTAAACTTCCATGTTTGTTCTGCGTTTTTTTTAAATTTGTTAAAAATGTTAAAAACTTTCACATGTTATTGTGTCTGAGTTTTTCTTTAATTTATTTATAGAATTTCACAAACTTTAAAACTTCCAATTTAGTGTACATCTACTTTGACTCCCAAGTTTGTTGGTATCTTTTTTTTAATTTGTTAAGCCTGAAAATTCAAAAAAGAAAAATTACTTTAATCCATGTCTGGAGTTGACTTCCGCATTTGAAATTTGTCGTTTTGCAATATAGTCAGATTTCAAAAATAAACCGGAAGAAACAATTTTTTTTTTAAAACAACGATCATCTTCCCAAACGTGGGTATCCTAACCTAATCCATAACTTATCCACTTTCTCCATAACTACATCAACGGTTTTATGCGGCTCTTTTCAATTCCTTTTCTATTCTCTTTTTGCTTTGGTCAGAATAAGAACTTTGCAAATATGGCTACAAAACTTCATGACATCAGACAAATTTCAAGCAACTCCATGCAATAGAATTTAAAAGTTACAGTAGTTCGAATGTGGGAAATCCTGGATCGCTACAAGCCTCAAATACCTTATTCGATAGAGTTGGTATTACAAGATGCAAAGGTAACATATTTTTAATTGCTTTCACTTTTTTCTTCCTCTTCTCTACTGTTATGATTCATAAAATTTCCAAAATTTTCAAAATGATGAAAATTTCTACGTGAAACTATTTGCATAGTACCCTTATTGCTCCTTCTGTTTCAAACGTTATTTTTCCATTTGTTTATTAGTTTCCAGCAATCCTCAAAAAGTTGAAACTACCTACTTGAAGTGATTATTTGGTGTAGTCTTATTTCTATTTCTGTTTGTGAACATCTGATTGATAATTGTTTACTAATTTCCAGCAAAAAAGAAATTATTACCAATATATTACATCTTATATAATCCACCTGAGAAATAAAATATGATGTTCCTCCTGAAACTTCTGCAAAAATTAGTACAATATGCATATATTCTGCCAAAGGAAGTTAGAATGTTTGTTGACAATTATTTAATCTCTATAACTACTGCAAATTCCAAAAATATGCACATTCTGCCTAAAAAATTTACATTGTTTGTTGACAATTATTTACTAATTTTCATCACTAACAATTTATACCAATCTAATACATCCTAATAATTAATATGATTTTCTAGGGTGATCGTATACATGCCTCAATCGGGGAGTATGTTATTAAGTTCTTAGGAATAAGATACAGGAACTCGGGTTATATCGCATGACCTATTTTGTTGTCGGACCAAATAATTTGAAATTAAAGACTATGACACACAATTTGAGGCTGACATTTACGCAGAGGGCAATAGTTGAGGAAACTACTGATCCTGTATGCAATTAGCAATATCATGTAATGTTCTATGAACTTGAGATGTCACCTTTTATTGTAGATTGATGAGAATGTAGCAAGGGATATCATTAATCATAAATCACTTCGACATCCAAACATAATTCGCTTCAAGGAGGCAAGTTTGCGTGCTTATGTTTTATTATTCTGCAATGATGTTTTGATAATATTGGTTTGTTTTGAAAATGGCAAGAAAAGCTAAGGAATAGCTGGCCTAATTGTTGTGCATTTGTTTTGTGAGATACAGGTGTTAGTGACACCCACTTATCTTGCCATTGTTATGAAATATACAGCTGGTAGAGAACTATTTGAGTGCATTCATAATGCAGGAAGGTTTAGCGAAGATGATGTATATTTTAAAATTTTAACTTTGTCAATAATCACTCTCTCACATAGATTACCATATAGAAGGATTCTTAAGAATAAAGAAATGTAATGATGTCTGTGATTTTAAAAGGTCAAATTGCTGTGATTTTAAGAGCCTTGGCTCACTATTTTTAATGCTTCTCTCTTCGGGTTTCTTGCTGCTGTCATTTTAGGCCATGTACTTTTTCCAGCAGCTTATTTAAGGAGTCCACTACTGTCACAGCATGGTGAAACTTACAAGAATTTACCAACAAAAAAAAAACTTTCTTTATGTGTGACCATATGAATAGAAATTTAGATACATCTTAAGCCTGGATTTATGTGTATAAACTTTATTCCAAGTGCCATCTTTTTAGTTTAAAGGAGCTTAATCTCCTTCAAACTTCCATAAAGATTTGAAGCTGGAGAATACCCTTCTTGATGGAAGTCCAGCTCCGCGCTTGAAGAAATGTGATTTTGAGTACTCAAAATTTAATGATGTTCTGGGTATTTATATGTATATAGACTTATTATCCCCCTAAGAAAGACTCATAGTTTTCGTCCTGCAATTGCAGTCGTCCCTGTTGCATTCGAGGCCAAAATCAACTGTTGCGACTCAGCTTATATTGCTCATGAGGTCCTATCCAGAAAAGAATATGATGACAAGATATCTGTGTAATTACTTATGTGATCTTTTACATTTGGTAGAGGGGCATTATGCAAATGATTGTAATTTTGATATGAGTTGGGGGCTGCTACTACAGGCTGTTGCTTGTACAAAGGCCCTGTTTGGCCATGAGTTTTGTCAAAATAAATTTGGGATTTATTTTCAAAACTCATATTTGGCCATAAATTTTGCCCATATTTTGGCCAAATTCCAAATCTCAAATCTCAAATCCCAAAATCAGCTATTGAGCTGATTTAGGTCCGAAAATCCAAAACTTGGGAACTTATATACATGTNTCCTAATTGATAACTTAGTTGTTGGGAACATCCATCGTAATTACGATTTACTCCTCCTGCAAAGGCTTTATATTGTGGGAGTTAACTAATTAATGGGTTACTTGGTTGATCAGATTAATGTCTTACAATAAAAAAATGATCAATCATCTAAGGTTGCATTTCTTAAGAATGTTGTCTTCACTAGCTATTTACAACAAGATTTTCCTTCATGACTTGAATGTATGAATATACAGTGCCTTTATATATTCATAAAATAATACCATTTACAACTTTTGTGTCTACCACATTTTTCAAATAATATTTTCTTATAAAATTATATTTAATCTTTCCGCGCAACGCGCAGGTACAGATACTAGTTATATAGAATAATATTAGTATTACTAGTGAGATGGTATCACATTTTACTGGCATAGATGGCCATGAGTTTGAGTCATTTCACCTTGATACGGTAGTATTCTCCATGATTGTATAGTAAGCCAAGCTGCCTCTTGAAACAGTTAAATCTCTTTACTGGAGAATCTCAAAATGGGAAGAATTTATATACATAGGGATAAAAGGAGTATAAAACTATTCGTTCATGTGTCCTAGGGAAGGTCAAGTGTGCTGAACCAAACAATTAAACCTTGTCATTGTTCTCTACCTTTAAAAATACCACTGTATGTATCACTAATCACTCACCCCCTTTGTGTTTTTCATGATTTCGTCTTCCCAACTACTCCTCGACCAATTTTAAGCATCGATCTTCTTTACAAAAATATTTATTATTGTCTTCCACATTCTCAGCAACAATGCTAACAATGCTTCCCTAAGACCTATCCAAAAGTAGTACCAAAAATTATTTATAACCAACTATTTTCCAAAGTCACTAAACCAAACAATTAAACCGTAGGGCAAATGTGCTGCTCCAGTATACTAGGTCAACTTGTGGTTGATTTAGCCAGTAAGATTAACCCAATTACCAACAACAACACAAATTACCGTGCAGCTATTCTTATAGTCATACTAATTTTCAATTTATCAGAGGCATTGCCTAATGAAATGCGCAATACACATAAATAGCAAAGGAAAATACGCATAACACAATAAAAAGAGAAATTCTAAATCCAAGTACAACTTAAACCCACAATTATAGTGTGATAGCAAGAGAAAAACAGAAACAAAGACAGAAATAAAGCAAAGTTACAGAATGGTTTTTTACGTCTTTAACTGATAAATACCAATGCAAGTGAAATTATTGTTAAGATCGAAATTTTACTAGCTGACTACACCCACAAAGTTTCTAGGTCATAAGAATGAGAGAAACAAACCGAGAAGAGGGGATTTCAAGATCTTCCCACTGATGCCTGCCGTCGTCAACCACCGTTTGCCGCCATCTTCAACCACTGTTTGCCGCCGTCAAGCGATAGGTCAGTGGAAGAGAAAGTAGAGAGGAAAAAGATATATATATATATATATAGAGAGGAAAAAGATATATATATATATATATATATATATAGAGAGAGAGAGAGAGAGAGAGAGGAAAAAGATAGAGAGAGACAGATCGTGAAAGAAATTGGGGAAATAGGGATCTGGTGTCTAATTTTTAATTTGGGTTTCTGACTACCGCGGTCGCAAAGTTTCAAATATATATTTATTTGTTTAAATTTTATATTTCCGACCAACGCAGTCAGTTTTATTGGGTCAACATATTTTTTGACTTTTCACTTTGCGACTGAATCGGTCGCAAATGTGAAGGCGGGAAATTCCCGCGTTGTTTTCCCACTGCTTTAGTCAGAATAGCAGTCAATATTATTTTAGGAAAATAGGTAATAATATTAAAATCATTTTCCGACTACTGCAGTCGCAAATTTAGTCGCATTAGCGACCATTATATATTCAGTCGCAAATTTCGGCCAGAAATTAACATTTTTCTAATAGTGAAAGATAGGGTCGGAACACACTGTGCATCAAGTGCATAACAGCTGCTGGGGCATTGGTGAGCCCAAATGACATCACAAGGAACTCGTAGTGACCATATCGAGTCCTGAAGGCAGTCTTCGGGATATCTGGCTCCCGAATCTTCAACTGATGATAGCCTGAATGCAAGTCAATCTTGGAGAACACCTTGGCACCCTGCAACTGATCAAACATGTCATCAATACGCGGCAATGGATACATGTTCTTCACTGTAACTCTATTCAACTGGCGATAATCAATGCACATACGCATAGAACCATCCTTCTTCTTCGCAAAAAAGACCGGAGCACCCCCAGGGTGACACACTGGGCCGGATGAAGCCCTTATCAAGCAAATCCTGTAACTGCTCCTTCAACTTAGGAGGAGCCATACAATATGGAGGAATGGAGATGGGCCGAGTGCCCGGCAACAAATCAATGCCAAAATCAACATCTCTGTAGGGCGGCATGCCCGGAAAATCAGCTGGAAATACATCAGGGAAATCCCTCACTACCGGAACTGACTCAACTGTAGGGGTATCAATACTGATATCTCTCACATATGCTAGATACGTGTCACACCGCTTCTCAACCATTTGTTGAGCCTTAAGAAATAAAATAACTCTATTGGGAGTGTAATCTAAGGCACCTCTCCACTCTAATCACAGTAATCCTGGCATAACTAGCGTCACGGTCTTAGCGTGACAATCAAGAATAGCATAATGGGGCGACAACCAGTCCGTGCCCAGAATAATATCAAAGTCTACCATGCTGAGCAATAATAAATTGGCTTTTGGTCTCAAAACCACTAAGAACAACCAAACATGGCCGATATAAATGGTCCACAACAATAGAATCTCCCACAGGTGTAGACACATAAACAGGAGAACTCAAGGAATCACGAGATATACCCAAATACGGGGCCAAATAAGATGACACATAGGAATAAATGGAGCCTGGATCGAATAGAACCAACGGATCTCTATGACAAACCGGAAGAATACCTATAAAGACAGAGTCGGAAGCAACTGCCTCTGTACGAGCAGGAAGGGCATAGTATCTGGCCTGGCCTCCCCCTCTAGGGCGACCTCTACCTCCCCGACCTCCACCTCGAGCTTGCTGAGTAGGTGGAGTAGTAGTTGGTGATGTAATCATAGCCTGAGGGAGCACACTGTGGTTGAGAAGTCTATGGAGGCGCACCCCTTTTAAGTCTGGGGCAATCCCTCACCATATGACGAGTGTCGCCACACTCAAAACAAGCTCTCGGAAGGCAAGGCTGACTCGGGCCAGGTCTGCTGGACAGATCGCTGAAAGCAACCCGTGAAGGAGTTATACTAGATACTGGTGGCGCATAATAAGGCTCCTAGGGCCTAGAAGTAGCCGAAATACCACTAGCGGCTGGAAGAGCTGAATGAATGACGACCCACATAGCCCCTACCATGTCGAACTACAACTAGGGCACAAGCACCAAAATAAGAACCAGTCCCTCGAGACCTTTTGGCCTCTCTCTCCTCCCTCTCCCGAGCAATCATGCCCTCCACTCTCTTAGCAATACTCACAACCTGCTAATATGAAATATCCATCTCTAACTCCCAGGCCATGCTAGTCTTGATGCTGGGATAGAGCCCCTCGATAAACCGGCAGACGCTCTCTCAAATTGTACAAACCAAGGCCGGTGCATGTCTAGCCAAATCAGTGAAACAAACTGCATACTCTGACACAATCATAACACCCTGGCGCAACTGCTCAAACTCGGCGCGCTATTCATTTCTGAGGCTCTGGGGAACATACTCCCTCAAAAACATATCCGAGAACTGAGTCCATGAAAGTGAAGCTGCCTCAGCCGGACTGTCCAACTCATAAGCACACTACCACTGATAAGCTTCTCCTCTAAGTTAGAACGTAGTGAAAGAAACCCCACTTGACTCTGCTATGCCCATAGTACGGAGAATACGGTGGCACTCCTCAAGAAAACCCTGAGCATCCTTTCTTGCCAAACCACTAAAAGTAGGAGGGTGGTACTTCTTGTACCTCTCGAACCTACGCTGCTCCTCAAAAACTACTGCCCTATCCTCGGGCTGGACTGGGGCTACTGGTTGTATCGGTATAATATCTAGAACCTGATCGATCGTAGCCCGCTGCTCTGGGGTATGGGCGACGGGAGTCTGTGCTCCTCCCCCGGCCTGAGATGTGGCAGGAGCAAGTGGAATCAATCCAGCCTGAGCTAAGGTGCTGAACATGCTCAAAAATTAGGCAAGAGTTTCCTGGAGGACTGGTGCAGTAACAGGTACCTCGGGTGTCTGCCCTCTAGCTGGAGCTACTAGGGGCTCCTCTGTAGCAGCTCGTACGGGTGCTCTGGCTGCACCACGTGGACGTCTATGGCCTCTACCACATCCCCGGCCTCTAGCGGCTCTAGCAAGGGCGCGGGCGCCTGGTCATCAGATCCGCCTGTACGTCTCCTCACCATCTGTGAGAGAATAGAAGACAGAAGTTTAGAATTACGAAGTCAACAATTTCGCACGACAAGGAATCAAAAGAGGTGAAATTTTCCTAACAGTTCCATAGCCTCCCGAAGATAAGTACAGACGTCTCCATACTGATCCGCGAGACTCTAATAAACCAGCTTATGACTCATGACACCTATGAACCTAGAGCTCTGATACCAACTTGTCACGACCCGATTTCCCCTCCGTAAGGGGTCGTGATGGCACCTAGTCTCTACAACTAGGTAAGCCTAAACAATTACGGAAATAACAGGAATAGAAGTAAAAACACACAACTA